TCTTTTCCTTTTCCCTTGCCCTTACTTAAAACCTTATATTTTAATTATCTGTTTAGCTGACTGTCTCCCCATTATGCTGTAAATTTAGGGGAAGTAGCTTAGTTGTTCTATAACTGCGGGGCAAGTTCAATCTCCAGGGCGTAACAAGCACTCCACGCATGTTAGCTGAATGATGAATAAGTGAAGGGAAACAAAAACGCATATTATAAATCCCACAGGGGAAAAACTTATTCTTTGTCGCTGATAAGCAAAGCTCAGGTTTTAGATTGGGGAGGTTAGACGACGCAGATGAGGATTTAAGATGTGAATTCTTGAAAGGCTGTAGGCCTTATTTTGAATCATACGATGACTCCACCGGATCAAAGAGAGGTTTGGCAAGCAGTTGTTAAGGAACCCTGAAACACTGCCAACATTTCTGAGCGGATCTTCTCAAGAGTGAATAAATTTTAAGGAACTGTAATTACCATGTGCATTAGCCACCTTTATAATTGGAAAGGCAAAATAGTGCAGAAACAGTGCTATAAATGACAACATTTATGCGCTTAAGGGTTGTCTTTAAAGGCTCAATCTTATAAAGATTTGATCTGCAGGGATACAAGCCTTTCAAGTGCTTCAGCCTTGGACTTGTAAGGTATTTGGAGACAGAGTCACCCTAGGGTGTGGCTGTGCACAGTTGTAGTTTGTTTTGCTCAGCTTCTGAAGCCAGCCAGATTCCTGAGACTACCAAGTATGGCAACACAACCAGCAGAACATTGAGATGGTCACTAAACAGCTCGCAATGTCCTGGCACGAGCGGACTTTCTCCAGCTCATTTCAAGATGCTCTTTGGCTGTCTGTCAGGGAAGCCTGGCCTCCCCAAACCCTGGCAGTCGGCAGCCACAACTGCATTATAAACATGCTGGAGAATTAAGCCTGAAGACAATATAAACTGTTAGTTGACATAAAAAATTCGAAACCATAAGACATTTTCAGGATCCTCTTTGTCTTTTCTTGTTAAAAGCAATTTTAATCAATGCCCCTTAATCAGAGAATAATGGTTAAAGTCTTTCCATGAGATTTTTAATTGACTTAATCTTTTGCCAACTGTAAACAAAGTTAAAAGCCTTCAGGAGATTTTGCAGAAGTAGCAACTAAAGGTAAAAACAGTGGCATACAAAAAAAAAATGGTCACAATGTAGGAATTACTTTTCTTTTCTTTTTTTTTTTTGTCTTTTTGAGACAGGATCTTTCTATGCAGTTTAGGCTAGCCTTGAGCTCACTTTGTAGCCCAGGCTGGTCTCGAACTCACAAGATCCTCCTGCCTCAGCCTCCTGAGTGCTGGGATTACAGGTATGTGCCACCATGCCCGGCTGTACTTTTCTATAAAAAGCATTTTTCTTTGAATCTTATCTCTTCATATGTGTTTCAGACTATGCTTGATGATGCATGAATCAGTTATATAGCAAGTTCTTAACATCTTGAGAGTCTAGTGAAGGTATAGGTTAGTTTTGTTGGAATTATTATCATTATAGTGCTATTATCAATATTACTAAACCCAAGACCTTCTCACTGAGTTCCCCAGGCTTTTTTATTTTTTTATTTTGAGACAGGGTCTCTCATTAAGTTGCTAAATTGTCAAGGCTGGGATAAACTTTCAGTCCTCCTTGCTCAGCTTCCCAGAGTGCTGGGATTAAAGACTTGTACTGCCGTGTCTGGCTGGAGTTATTTTTCAATGAAAGGATGGATATCATACAATACTACATGGGACGATGTTAATGTAAAAGAACACTATTTACAATGGGCATTTTCTCTTTAATCATAAAAGGGTTTCTAAATTAAAGATTGATGATAAGTATACTAAAATATATAGAATATCTTGGTAGTTCATTTGAAAATGTGAATGTGTGTGAAGATGGTGTGAATTCCACTTAAGGAACTATTTACATTTTATGACATGCATATTTTAAAAGTTTCTGCAGCCTCTGTTTTTTAAAAAAAGTAGAAATAAAAGTGTGGAGGGATGTCCAGACACTGCTCACTAGCGAGTGTTCTCCCGCTGGTTATAGCTAAGCTGTAGGATCCCAGGCTGCCTGGAGTCTTTATGTCTCAAAACTCTGGAAGTATATATCCTCCAAAGTCCTTGCAGTCTCTGATGAATGTGGCTTCCATCCCTTTCTGAAGCCTGGCCTGTTGTCTGGGGCTCTGTCAGAGAGAACGACTTGGCTTCTAGTCTTTCTAAAAGTGCACAGTCTTAACCCCATTCTTCTGCTCCTACTTCTCCTCTTCCTGAAATGTCTGGATGAAGGGAATGGAAAAATCAGTGGGATAAAAACATTATACTGTTGCTCAAAACAAATGGTCTGCCACACAGATAAAGGAGAAAATCTGAAAATGCTCAAATATCCATTGATAGAGAACTGGATAAATAGATTATGGCATATCCATGAAATGAATAGGTTAAAGAGAACAAGGTAAATCCATGCCTGAGGAAATGACCAAGATGTAAATTAAGTACAAAATATAATTTCAGAAATCATATGGGTAGCATGATCTAATCTGTATGAAAAATTTAAATATATATATATATATGCATGTGTACACACACATATACCTATACATGCTTTTGAATAGAGAAAATATATACAGGAAGCATCATAAACTCTTAACTGTGATTATTTCTGAAGACTGAATGTAGGAAGGAAGAGGTAAATTTGCCCTTCTACTTCCTGAATTATTTATGTTTTACAACAATATATTTTCAGTTTTTATAATTCCAGTTTTTCAGAAGATAAAAACCTATGTGAATCTTTTCCACAAGCTAATCATTATTTATTTATTTAATATATTTTTAAATGAGTTTAAGTGGGGCTGGGGTTATAGTTCAGTGGCACAAGCACCTGCCTAGCAAGCGCAAGGTCCTGAGTTTGATTCCCAGTACCAAAAAGAAAAGATAAATAAGTTTAAGTGCAGTTAAGTAATTATGCTAACTTTCTTGCTACTGCCCTGGGAACAGCAAGAGTACTTGTTGAGAAAGATGAATATTTAGAGAAGTGTTCCTTTTCAAGCTTCAGAAAGTAAATATGCTAAATAACTGCATCCTTTCCTCTCATATTTTAGTACGTACATTTATTACATTTTAAATGATTTTACTTATCCTAAATGTGTTTGCCGTATTTTAAGGCTGGCAACGTAATCATAGTATTTTATTGTATGTAACAGAATTATCAGAGATCCATATCCCATATGGTTAAAGCTTACTTTTGCCCCAGTTGTCCTTATGTTTCATTCCCATTTTTTGATGAATTAAACCTATACATTTAAGAAAGGCTGCAAGGAGAGTTTTGAATTGTTAAAAAAAAAATCACTCATTGAAAAGAGAGGCATTCTAGGCTGGAGGAACAGTATGTGCAAAGGCAAGAAACCAGTAAGTGGAATGGCAAGGATGAGAAGCTACTCCTGAAGCATCCAAGACAAGTAGTAGAGGGTCAGGGTAGCCGGCTCATGAAGGTTTTTTTTAATGCAAGTGAAGGAAGCAAGTGATTTTTAAATGAGATGTTCAGATATGAGCTTTTAAAAGCTCACTCTGGATCTATGGAGAGCGGGTTTCAGGGTGGCAGGATTGAGAGAGAAGAGACGAATTAAAAGGAATGACACTATTTCAGGCAAATGGTTAGGAAACCTTAAGCCAGTAAGCTATACAGGCAGTAAAAAAGATCGGAGAGATAGTTGTTATTTATAGGTTCATATAAAACACAAGCCATAAGTTTGCACAAATCTATGCAACAGTTTATTCTACTAGAAAATTACTAAAACCACAAAGTTCATTAAAAAACCCAGGGGCATGTTTAAGTAATACATAGACGTAGATGTATAAGTGAAAGTTTGAAACCAGTGTTGCTGGACAAAAACTTTCTGAACCAAGGTCAATCACGCTAACAACAGGAGACCATCGTAAACTGCTATCAGTGCCTGAAGATTTCTTGAGTTCTGGGTCCAGTTGTCTCTTAAACAATTTCCCTTGGATTTCTGTCAACACCCTCACCCCATCCTGACTCACCTGCACCGTTATTGTGTCTTCCATCCCTATCTCTCCTGATGCCCCAGTCTTAGACTCCCAGGTTTAAAACTTTATTTTCACGTTTGTCTTTCTAACCACCTAGCAACTTAGCTCCACAGTATCGTTCACATCCATCCGCAACTTTCCTCTCTCCTTCAGACTCAGGATTTTATTCTTTTTCGTCTGGGTTCTTGCAGTGATGTTCCCCCTTTCCGTGTCCTAGTATAGCCACATCTATATCATCGTATGCACTGCAGCTGGACTCAGTGTCCCAGAGCATAGTGTTGATCTTATCCTTGTTTCAAATCTATCAAGGCTAGTGAGAATTTCAATTAATAAAATTACTTTAGAAAACTCTTTGGTATTATCTACTAATGTGGAACATATATACATCCTATATCTCATCCATTTTATGACTAGATATGTAGCCAACAAAAATGTATGCCTATATAACCAATATACCTCCAAAAGACAGCTATGAGAGTGTGTATGTCACAGCATTATTCATACTAGCCCAAACCTGGACACAACCTAAAAGAGTAGACTGGATAGATAAATTGTAGAGTCTTCATATAAAGCCGTAGTACCCAACAAGCAAAAAAGGCATGTTTAGTGTCAAGTTTTAAAATAGGCAAAACTACTAACCAATTAGGAGAGTTAGGAGAATTGGAAATTAGGAGAATGGTTTAGATTAAGGAGAAGGAAAGAAGTAGGTACTACGCAAGGATAAAGGCAGAACTTTTGGAAACCAGAACATTTCTATCATTTGACATGGATGGAAGTTACATGGTGTTTTCACTTTGCAAAAATAGATGTAAAAGTATTCACATATGCATATACACGTTTCAATGGCTTTTTACTTTCTACCAGATAATGTTAAAATGTCCAAACCTACAAAGCAGGATTAGTCAGTGATCTGCTGCAATCCACATTTCCAGTCCCTGTAATGAGACTTGTTACCTACCTATCAATTCCCTGTGCCCCAGCTGTCCTGGATGCTGTGTGACCCCCCTTCTCCCCGCCAGCTCACAAGTTCCACCTGTATAAAGCATGTAGGAAAATAACATCACTAAAAAATATCAGAATTCAAATTAGAAATTCTGCAACCACTTTATTTCCCCATAAAATCTGTGGCATTGTGGGACTTCAGTCCTCTACTAAATTCTTTTTGTCCTCCAGTTTTCTGACATACCAGGGAACTGCCAACTGTGCAGTCTCCAAGATCAAGCCTGTACTGGTGATGTAAAATCATAACAGGCTTTGCAACGAAGCCTGCTGGTACTCGAATATAATACTCCTCAGGAAAGAGTGAAGCAACAGTGCACGTCGCCAGGGCCAGGAACCTGATTTGGCGGTGGCGTGCCCCTAAGGCAGTGGACAAAAATCAAAATCACAGTGATCAAAGTATTTGGCTTATACTTGGGTCAATGCTGATTTCTGAGCAAATCAGATATGGTTGCCAAAATTTCTAGTGAGGGATGATACCATGGCAGGTAGTAATTCTTGTGTTCTAAGTGCCCATTTCTGTGGAACAGCGCATTACTGAGTAACTTAGGAACACACTGTCACGTCCTGAGGGAGAAATAAATATAGCAAAAGGAAATGGAACAAGGTTTTAGCCAAGTGGGCTGAGCTGCAGGGCAGGGCTATGTGAGTGTGAGAACTGGAAGAATGTAGAGCAGAGGCCCAGTTAAATAGGTTAGGTCTCTCTCATGGACTGTGTGTGTATGGGGGTCACAGTTATGAAGGAATGTGTGTACCCTATAACAGTGCTCTATAACTTGAGCATGTGTAAGAATCATTCAGGCAATCTGTTAAAATGCAAGCTCCTGGGCTCCACCCCAAGGTGTTCTCTACTGAGAGACAAGGTCTTGACAAGTTGCCATCCTCCTACCTCAGCATCCCAGAATGCAGGGATGACAAGCATGCACTACCACACTTGGCTCAGAATTTGCATTTCTAACAAGTTCCCAGGTGAAACACTGTTTTAGAGAAATTATCAAGAAAGCAAAATGACAACAACAAAACTAATTTCAGTTCCCATCCACCGCTGGGAACCAGCCTTGGTCATATTTAGTTTAGTGAATACATGGCCAGCCTTGGTCATATTTAGCTTAGGGAGTACATGGACCAAAGGTAAAAGATGAAGACTTTAATTTCTACTGCACAAGATAGCAAATGGCAATGAAAAGTGTAATTTACCTTTGTGTCTAGTTTGAAAAATCAGATGAAAGTCCTATCCCTACTGTCCTAACCTGCTTCCTAGAGTTCATAGGTGAGGTTTCTGGGTGAGGGACAGGTTATTAGCATCTGGTAGAAACCAGGGATACTCCTAACCATCCTACAATGCACAGGACGCCCCATCTATAGCAATTCTACACCCCAAAGGGCAATGCTGCAGAGATTGAGTAATGCTATCTAGCTATCTACCCATCAGATTTGGAGTATTCTCTTGGGTTTTGCATCCGATTACACAGATCATTGTAATCAGAGTTATCCAAATTAACACTGTCCATATTGTGACAGCTTATAATAAAAGAAACATTTCAACCAAGAAAAAAAGAAACCAAATTAAACCAAGAAGCATCTAAGGAGGATAAAAGACCCAACATAGGTAATGAGAGAGGAAGAAAGAAAATTGTACAGGGAGATTAGGTTAAGGGGGTTTCCTTTAGTGAAATTCTAAATAGGAGGTTCTGGGGAAAGGACGACAGGGCAGGCTCCATGCGTCATATAGCTTTGCAGTCCTAGATCACACTATCTTGGAAGATCCTGGGATCAGTACACACTGATATAGAGTGTATGAAGTGGTTAGTCCATCTCTCATGGAGGATTTTTATGGATAAAGGCACTATAGTAGTTTCTTGTTTTTTTTCTGAACACTTATTACTCACTTTTCCAGTTAACAAACTCTATTCTGCTAAGCAAAACTCTCTGAAAACAGTTAAAACCATGAAGTGCAAGATGCTGTTCATCTTTCTCCCAACAAATATTTTTGTTCATATTTATTCTAATTTTCCTCTTGTCAAAGATAAAAACATTAATTAGGCTAGTTTTATTTTTTAAAAAAACTCAATTAACATTTACTTCTTACTTTGTCAGGCTAAACAAATCTCCTTTCTCTTAACCTTTTTTGTTTTACACCTTAAACACGTATTTATTTTTATTTGCAACATCTCTAGTCTTTCCAAAGTCATATTTCTAATTGCAAGACTACAATGAGAGATAGTACTTTTAATTCACAGTCAGTGAAATTTTTCCACATTTTTTGGCCAGATCTTACGGTAGACACTTTCATGTTTTTTGTTGCTCTGTAAGGTAGGTATGTCTGGTCATGATTTACAGATAAAGGAAATGACTTAGAGAGTTTTAGGAAGCATATCCAAATTCATACAGATTGTAATTGGTCAAAATGAGGTCCAAGCTCAGGATCACGCTCTCTTTTGTGGAATGAAGTGCTGCTCAATTCTAGAATTGAAAAAAAAAATTAAGGTCTAAAAAAATTTCAGTTCAGTTTTTCTGATTTCAGTTCCAGGAGTCATATGATAAGCAATACAATTCAGAACCTAAAATTTATTTCAAGAGTTTGCATATCAGATGAAGTAGTAATTCTGAGCCTATTATGGATTATTATAATTGTATCACATTGATGACTCAGCTGTGAGCTGGAGAAAGACACCCAGAGCAGAAAAGTAGAGTCGCCATGTTTCATAGTTCCACACAGGATGCTGTCAAGGACCTGGCATGATTCATAAAATGGCTTAATGGCAATATCTTCATAAAATAACATTGTATTGACTATCTATGATTGCATAACAAATTATCTGCCAAAATTATTAGCTCTTCATCCCTGTGGGTGCCTCTGGCTCAATATCTTTTATAAGGCGGCATTGAGTTTATAGGTCAGGACTGCTGCCTCATAGGAAGGAGTAACTGAGAGGTTTGCTTCCAAGCTTACCGTGTATCTGTTGATGGAATTCTGGCCTACTTGGTTGAGGGTCATGGTTCCTTATTGGCTACAGACATAGTTCCTTGCCACACAGGTTTCTTCATAGAGGAACTCACAGCAAGGTAGCAGCTTCCATCAAAGCAAGCAAGGGGAACAATGAAATCACAGTCTTTCATGAACCTAATATTAGAAGTTCTGTCTTGTGTTGGTATATTATATTCATTCAAAATTCATCATTACATTCATCCTGCACTCAGAGAAGGGATTGCTACTAGGTTAGAATGCTATAAGGAAGGTGTGGGTACCATATTGCCTACCACAAATGCCAATCAATCTTTTTATGTTAAAAGAGTTTCCCTATATTTCTTAAATATTTAATTTACCCACTTATTCAGTGATACTTATGAAATAAAAATGGTTCACAATGCTTTTACTTAGTTCTCAGGCCATGTACACTGGACTTGAAGAAAAAAATAGATGTTAGCCAAGAAAGAAGCAAGGTGAGGATTATTTTTTTTGTCTTTTGGACAGCGGGTTTTGCTCTGCAGTTCAGGCTGGCCTTGAACTCACAGCAATCCTTCTGCCTCAGCCTTCTGAGTGCTGGGATTACAGGCATGTGCCACTACACCTGGCCTATGAGGTGAGAATACGCTAAGCAAAGGGGGATAAATATAAATATATATATATATATATAAGCATGAAGATGAAAAAGAATCAATTATAATATTAAATATCCCTACTCATAATCTTACCAGGATATTATTGTTTGTCATTATCCATAATGAAGTAAACAGACCCAAATAACTGTTAAAGATTAAATAATGATTATTTCTATTTTATCACAGTAGGTTTCTAAATTTGGTCCCACAAGATACACTGGCCTAGTAACTCTGAGATTTTCCTGTCCCCATCCATCAACTAATTTTGCTTCTGCCAGAGAGGATCTCCAATGGTTGAGCCTACAAAGTAGTAGGTACAGAGCAGATTTAACAAATGCTTGTTAATATGGTCAATTTGGGCCCAACCCAACAATTAAATTAAAATTAAAGTATCTCTTGCTCCTGACACAAAACAGGAAAATGCAGTAGAAAAGGATTTAGATCATTTTGATTCTCTTCCTGTAGGGATAGCGTTTACAGGTCAATGGTTAATATTAACATACTTTGTGTAATGAGTGTCAAGTCTTCAGACAATCAGGACCTGAAATTTTTCATAGTATTTCAGATGGATGCCTGGTATACACAAAATAAACTGATACATTATTTCTCAAGAAGGATGTTACAGTAATAACAGCATGTAACTTTAGGACTGAGTTTTGATTGTTATTAGGAGGTATGTATACATTATATTGTTTTTTGTTTGTTTTTTTATTTATTTCAAAGAGAAAAAACTAACAAAACAACAACAAAGAAGACAAAAACAAAACAACACAAAAACAACAAAAACAATGCATGACCTCAAAACCAAATGAGAGGAATTAACAGTGGTTGCTACATTACATACTGTTATCTTCAACAAAGCTGCTCAGTCTACCTGATGTCAGAATGTAAGACTGATCAAACAATCAAAGAAGTAATAAGTAATAAAAAACATTGGAAAAATGCAGAGTTCATAATATACACAAGAATAAGCAGAATAGAATATGCAATCAATCCATGACCAATTTTTCAACACTTACACCCTCCACGACACCTCTTCTATATTGCTTTTTTCTATATTACTTTTGAGGCTCATTATAGATACCATACAATTTCATCCATAGATATTATATAGTATATACCTCTAAAGGAGTAGTCATTGTTATGAAACAAAACATTACAATTTTTCTCCTGAAAAAAAGAATAACATTTCCTTATTACTGTTAAATTAGTTTTGCAATCTTATTTTTACTTTCTTTTTATGATGAGATAGATGGATAGACAATTGGGTCTCAATCTGTGATGATTTTTCCCACTAGGGGGCATGTGGCAATGTTAGGAATTATTTTTGTTACAAATGGGTGGGGGGAGGTGTGCTACTGGCATCTAGTGGGTAGAAGCTAGGGATGTTGCTAAACATATAGGATGGTCCTCCATGATAAATAGTTGCTTTCTCCAGAATATTAGCGGTGTGACTGTGGATACGCCCACACAGGTAGATAAGAGTGGAAAAGAAAAGTGAATGGAGAAGGAAAGGCAGAGAGGAAAAGGAGGATTGAAGAAAGGAAGGAAAGAAGGAAGGGAGGGTGAGTAGCAGTTACAATGGATAATAACTTACAAAGAAGAGAGATACAAAATATTCATGCTCTCTGACAATTTTAGTTACCACCCTAATGACAAAAATGAATTTATATTTGAAAAGTTGATTCACAATATGTAATTATTCTAATCAAAAGGTCCCATAAATCAGATACACCTTCATAAGCTTTTTATGTAAGGGGAGAAAATCGGTGCCCTAACATTAATTAATGGAACATCTATTTCACGTGTGGATAAGGTAGCATTTCTTACTTGGGCAGCAGAGTCCAATGAAATAATTAACAAAATAAACAGAGGTCATGTTCTGCAACAAATGAAAACTCTAGAAAAAAATTATTTTAATTTGCTGAGCAATAATCTGCCCAAGAGAGCTTTCTTTTGTGTAAAGTGATGCTATGAATGTTAATGCTTATGGCATATTTTAAAGTCGTATTAGTTGCTGTCATGCAGATAGAATTCTGCCCATTATTTTCCACACAGAACCCTTTGTAATAATTTACCTAGCAGCACAGCATTTCAAACAGATCAAAGCAGCATTATTTAAGTGTGTCCAGAGGGCAGCTTTAGCTCTCTGTGTTACACCTTAAAGAAATACTACTGACTTGCTTTTTGAGAGACAAAACATGGTTAACTAACTACAGGCTTCACACATGTCCTGCCCTGCAGAAACTCACACAAATTTCGCCTGTAGTCTGGGAAGAACCCTCTCCCTACCCCAAATGCTTTAAAATCTGAGGGGAGCATAGAACAAATGTGAGAAAGCCAGTCATTTAAAATAAACAGCAACGTATTTTCCTTTAGACTAAGCTTGAAGGCAAACTAGATTCAGGAAAGGAAACGGCGGCGTAGAGTGTGTAGTTGCTATAGAAAGTGTTTGCCTGCTTCTGCTCACAGACAAGTGAAGTCCAACTCTGAAATTTCAGGCAATTTGTATACCAGGCTCCTCCTTTGCTGCAGCCTTCTTTTCCATTGGTAAAATTCTTTTGCAGGGTCATGTAGGGATCCCACCCCTTCTCTGTGTTTTCACTCTGGAGCTCTACACAACTTTACACCTGAATGAACGCCAAACCTCTGTGGATATATAAAGGGGACCTTGAGGAGGAATTTCACAGTTACAGTGCAGAAGCAGAGGGAAAGGAATTAACCAGCTCTTCAGCCAAGCAAATCCTCTACTCACCATGCTTCCTCCTGCCATTCATTTCTCTCTCATTCCCCTTGCATGCATCCTGATGAAAAGCTGTTTGGCTTTTAAAAATGATGCCACAGAAATCCTTTATTCACATGTGGTTAAACCTGTTCCAGCACACCCCAGCAGCAACAGCACGCTGAATCAAGCCAGAAATGGAGGCAGGCATTTCAGTGACACTGGACTGGATCGGAACAGTAAGTGTGTTTTACTTGTACAGATTTTCTTTCTTCTTCTTTGGTAGCGTTAACTCACATTCCTGTCAAATTGTTTCTCTGTTCACTAACCCAAACCACATATATCTTTGCAAAACAATCTGGGAGCAATTGCTGCACGTGTATGCTGGCATTCTTCTCTAGGTAGAGTTAACATAATTAAAATAGTGGCTTGCTCATGACAAGTACAGACTTAAGTTTTACCAAATATTCACAATCCAGGAATTAAACTGTTGCTTTTTAAACTCTATGCAAAATAAGAGTTTTACAAAGTGTTGTTCTACATAGATTTAAGTTCAGGCTGTTGTGTTAATCTCAGGACATGTGCAATTTTGATAAAGTGTATAAAGTAATGAACTAACCAAAAGTACCTATAGGAAGTCACAAGAGAAAAGAATGTTCATGTGGATTTCTAAGATATGTCTAGTGAAATAAAGTTTGTTGATGCTCATTGTACAGGGATAAAGCTAAACCTGCTGGGTAATCATATTTTTTCCCCAAAATAAGTCCTCATAAATCACATCTAATTTTAGGTAACTATATTTCTGCAAAAGACTGGGTATTTAAAATAACAGTACACTGTTTTGTACAGCAAGCATTCTTTATCCTTTTGTGTTTGCTTAATTGACACACTAATTGATCCCTAGCTAGAAGGATTCAAATTTCTCCTCTTAACTTTTGTTTCATTCTTTTCTTTTAGCAGAGTTCACATGTTAATAATCAGGTTCAGAGAGAGGGAGGGGAAGAGAGAGAGAGAGAGAGAGAGAGAGAGAGAGAGAGAGAGAGAGAGAGAGAGAGAAACAGTGTACAGGAAATCCTACACAAATCTTTTGCACCTCCTCCTTAAACTCCACTCAACTACGAAAGTAGTTTTGACCTTTAAAAAGCCAAAGAAGCATAGCTGTTAATTTCTTCTTAAGAAAACTGAGGTGCTTTAATTTTCCTGAAGGTTATTGCTGCCTTTAGGTACATAGGAAATACGTGCTTATTATTAGATTACTGAGCAATGTGGTGGGTATTCATTGTCAATGAACTGTCACTGCAAAAATGCTGAATGTCTGTATGCACAGGAACAAAAAGCTAGACGGGTCAAAGTCATCTCTGGCTCTTTCCAGGTGCATTCCTAAGGCAGCTGTGGGGAGGTGAGCTGGAATCAGGAACAGGCAAGTCCAGCTCACTGTCAAATCCAATCATTTATCCTTTCATTTCAGGGCTTTACAACTCGAGAGCTGTATGCATATGTGTGTACATATATATATATATATTTTCCCCACACTGTCACATTTCCCTTCAGCTGTATCTCTTATCTCAAAAGTACCTGGGTACAGGGATGAAGTAAAACTAATTTACTTCCTACTCTGAGTTAGCTTTTGATCATCTATGTAGAATCACTTCCATGTCTTTTATAAGTTTTACTTTTAAAATTCCATCACCCCTGAGCTCTAAAACTTCTTTTTGTTTTTCCTGCATAACAAGCTTTGACATTTTCTCGAGCTTGTTAAAGGCAAGCTTGTTATCCTAGAGCTTTGATAGCAAAGCTATGTTAAGGAAAAGTTCAAATATTTCAAGATTAATTTTTATTGTAATTATATAAGGCATGTAACAAGAAACAGCCAATTAGAGAACATACTTATCAAATCCAAATAAGTAAAACAAAAAGTTTGCCATGACCAATATTCAGGAAATGAATACCATGGTTCCTTTTGCAGTTGTAAATCAGACATGTTAGGTATTTTTCTGCCATAAAATTCATGGAAATGTAGCCAAGTTGTTATGGCAACCATACGTTCCTGATTTAGGGGCTTTTATATTCTTTAAATTTTGAGTTGTGGTGGTATTTTCCATTTCAAACACTTCACTATTTGTGTTTTTAAAATGTAGTTTGGGAACTTATATTTAAAATGCACTTATTAAGTTTGATATGCAAAATGTCAAAGGTTGTACTCATGTCCATGTATGATTCTGTGCAGAGGAATTCATAATTGAAATCAAATATTACAGAGTGCGTATGTACTGTACACACTATGTAAGTACTTTCCACATTTTCTCAACAGATTTTTTTTTCAAGAAACCTAATTAAAAGCATTTGTAGACATTAACCAATAGAACTCTGGAGAAAGAGAAGATTAAAGTGTGTTCTTTTTAACTCATTGCTGAATGAATATTTACACATAAGTGGAAGAGTGCTAAACTTTTAATGGGGATTAGAATAAGCAAATAAGATTTTCCCAATACTGTAATAAACAATTAGCTAATGTTATACATGAAAAAAAAGATTAGGCCTAGATTTTCTTTTTTCCAAAAAAATTAGGGCCTTTCTTTAAAATGATGTAAGTGATATTCTTCTTGAAAGTAGGTATTTACTTTCTTTTTGGCAGTTTGCTACCTTTTGGATATTATTTTGTCATTGCAATTTACTCTTTTTTAATTTAAGGAGGCTTCCTTTGCTGTATGTCTGTGATGCATGTTCTTTTCTGTTTCCGTCAGGTCGTGTTCAAGTGGGTTGCCGGGAACTGCGGTCCACCAAATATATCTCTGATGGCCAATGCACCAGCGTCAGCCCTCTGAAGGAGCTCGTGTGTGCTGGTGAGTGTTTGCCCCTGCCGGTGCTCCCTAACTGGATTGGAGGAGGCTACGGAACCAAGTACTGGAGCAGGAGGAGCTCCCAGGAGTGGAGGTGTGTCAACGACAAAACGCGCACCCAGAGAATCCAGCTGCAGTGTCAAGATGGCAGCACACGCACCTACAAAATCACAGTGGTAACCGCCTGCAAGTGCAAGAGGTACACCCGGCAGCACAACGAGTCTAGCCACAACTTTGAGAGCGTGTCGCCCGCCAAGCCAGCCCAGCATCACAGAGAGAGGAAGAGGGCCAGCAAATCCAGCAAGCACAGCATCAGTTAGAACTCAGCCTCTCAGGCTGGACTGACTCTAACCATCTGCTTTACAGATTTGATTGCTTGGAAGACTCAAGCCTGCCATTGCTATTTTCTCACTTGAAAGTATAATGCTCTCTGCTTTGATCAAACCCAGCAAGCTGTCCTAAGATTCAGGACCTTCTCTGGGAATAGCTTTTCCTCAAGTTTTTCAAGATGTGTATATGTTCATGCGTGCAATTTGCATTTAAATTCCATACATCCTGTAGTTTTAATCCCCGTCATTCTTAAAAGACTATTGATACAATAAGCATCGCTCAGTCATGACATTTTAAAACAGAAAAGGACCTCTGTGTTCCTTAGCCTGTCCCTGTCCTTTCCAGACAATATCTCTTCAAAACAGAAAAGTTGAAAAAATTGTTGCTATGAATATTCACAGTCACATTTCAGAAAGGTGCTTTTCCAGTAACTTTCATGGCAATAGTTTAGCAACCGTGAGTGATCTCCTTTGAAAGAGGGAGGAAAAACATGTGACATTTCACTTCAAAAATAAGCCCTGTAGCTTTTTACAGTCTCATAGTTTGAAATTATACCCTGCATGCTGACCCTTGCTTGGAATGGAATGCCGGAAATGCATGGCAGCGGCTAAGAAGTAAAGCTGATTAACTATTTATTTGTCAATGTTATTATTTAATGAGCTTTCACATGTGATTTTTTTTCAAAAATGTTAATTTTTTTATGTTTTGAAGCTTTTTCATACACCTAAGTATTTTCCTATATGATTTGTGGTTGATCAAGAAATATGAAAATACATTTTGTAGATATGTAAATTAAATATTTTAGTTTCCTTATTATGTATGTATTTCAACATTAACTTTATCAATAGTATGGGTCTCTTAAAACCAAAAAAATGCTTTGTAAAGCCAAAGTATGTAATACTTTCTTGTTTAGTTTGTGCAATCGGAAGGTAGCTTGACCACTTCTGCTGGTTTCCTTTTAACAAAAATAAACTCTACTAAAGTTATTGTTCTTGGCTGTAAGTGTATAAAAGAATACATGTTTGCAGAAATTGTAGAATAAAGTGTAAAAGTAATTGCTTTTGTGTGTGTGTGTGTGTGTGTGTGTGTGTGCGCGTGCGCTAGGGATTGAACCCAGGCTCTGTACATGCTAAGGATACACTTTACCACTCAGCTACCTCACAGCCTCAGTAATTGGTTGCTTTGCTAACTGACATTAAACTTTTGACAGAAATGTCTGTATAATAAAGGAGGGAGGGGCTGGGGATTTAGCTCAGCGGCAAAAGCGCCTGCCTGGCAAGCGC